TGAAGTCTGCTCGCGCCTCGCCGCTGTCTGCACGCCTCAGTTCCTTGCGACCCTCGACATGATGTTGGTCGGCAAGTCGAGCAGTCTTGAGGTACCCGGCAAGGAAAACGCAAATCCTCCGGAACGGCCGACCAACACATCCATTGTCGAAGGAGGTTACCGGTGGGAAGATATTGTTGCCACTATGCGCGAAGTCTGGCGCCGCGGTTTCACTGCAGCTCAGAACGCCATTGGCGACGCTTATCCCGTCGCGTCTATCCAGACCTCCGCGGCCTCCGCCTCGCACGCTGTATCCTACTCGGGCGACAGTGAATCTCGCTTAGTTAAACTCGAGCAGGATTTCCACGAATTTGCTGAGCGCGCTAGCCAAGGCGAAAAGGAAACTAAGACCGCTATACGTAGTCTACAGTCCGAAGTTCATACTGAGCTCGCTCAAGGACGTACCAAGTCCGATCAGAACTTCGCGATGATCCAAGAGACTATTCAGCGCCTCACCAACCAGCTGTCGCTCAACACGAACAGCGCCGCCCCGCAAGGCGGTGGGTTCCGGCCCAACTACCCTGGATCGTTCAACCGACCCCAAAATAATTATGGTGGCGGCCAGCGCGGTCCCCCTCGACCTCAATATACTTGCAACTGGTGTGGCGAGGTCGGCCACTTCATGAACAATTGCCCTGATTGTCAGAATGCGATTAAGTCCGGCGAGATCGTACCCGATAACGCTGGAGGCTTCCGCACTAAGACAGGCGAAATTATACCGCGTCGCAATGGTCCGCTTGACCTGCCGATGCGCACTAAGTGGCAGCAAATGAAGGCGGCTGTTAACCAATATGTGGTCGCTCCTTTCATGAACTACATTGGTCAATATACCAACTCAGGCATGTGGGGCATCCCGCAACAACCGCCGAGTGTCATACTGGACTCAGGCTTGGACGTTCCTCCCGGCTGGGATGAGTTCACCGAGCAGCTCTCCCCGGAGCAGATCGCTCATTACAACAACCCGCCTGTCGGCGAGATGGCTCAGCCACCGTCGGTCCAGGAGGGGTCGTCCCAGGGTTTTTGATGGGTTCAGGGATTCACGCCCAATACCTTGATAAACGCTGGGGGCGTGATGAGAGCCAGTTAAAACCAGCAGCTAGTTCGTTGCCACAAAATCCAAACAAGTCCGTGTATGCGACGCCTGCGAAGGCGCCCAACGCTAAGACTACGAATTCGCAGCCCGGCCCTGTACCGCAGGCCGGTCCTGCTCATCCATATCGCTCAGTGCCGGAGACGCGATTTATACCCATCGACCAGCGCCCTTCTGCGTTACCTGTTAAGCCCGGCGCAGCGCCCGGCGAAGCAAGTCGCGCGAAGCCCGCGGCGAAGGTCCAGGCCCCTATACAAACCTCTGTAGACTCGGAAGATGTCTTAGAGAAACTACTGTCGACCAAGTGCCCGATGACCGGAATTACGCTGCGCGAATTCCTGGGAGTCAGTCCTACTCTACAAGACCTTCTAAGGAAATTGTTGACTAGGAAGCGCGAGATCGACGACAACTTTGGCAAAGTCCTGCGTGTGGCCTTGCTCACTGAAGCTTACCAACGCAAAGAATTGGGCTATGCTCAAGGACAGCGCCCCAATCTCGGCCGAGGTAGCGAGTCCGACGATCCAGTTCAGGTGAATTGGGCCGCACTCGAGAACGAGGTCATTACCACGACGGTCGAGCTACCGTCGTGCGCCCACACTAAGGTACCCATCGGGTCCTATGTGCAGATCGACGCCCGACTTGAGGTCTACCAGAGTCTGCCTGAACGCGGTCGCTCCGATGTTATCTTCGCGGGCGAACCTTCGGCGACACTGCGTACCGTCTGGCCGAATATTAACAACAATGGTCCGGACGAAAGTATCTTGGACAGTGGTTCACAAATCGTATCCATGTCTAAGGATTGCGCGCGCGACCGCGGTGCTTCCTACGACCCGACTGTTACCATACGCATGCAAAGCGCCAATAACCAAGTTAACTCGACCTTGGGCCTAGCGAGGAATATTCCCTTTGACTTCGCTGGGATCACGGTGTACTTGCAGTGCCACATATCGGACACCGGCGCCTTCCGAGTATTATTAGGGAGACCTTTTGATACTCTGTGCGAGTCCGTATATACCAATGACCGCGACGGCAACCAGGAGGTGACCATTACTTGCCCTAACACTGGCAATAAGGTTACTATGCACACATACGCCCGAGGCGTAATTCCTGAGCACGTCCGCGCTCATCCGGGTTTTCCGGACGCTTCTGCGAACTGATCTCTTCTCTCGAGGATCAGGGAGAAGCGGCTCTACAAATCGAGATGGACGAAAATCAAGAAATCATAATCCGTAGCGTCATGCGACCGCAAGCGTCGACGACCTTCACACAAGTCAACCTTCAATCTGCCTTTTTGCAGGCGTCTCTGAACGCGGACCAAATCAAGGACGAGAAGGACAAGACTATTTTATACAACTTCTTTCACGGACCGGAGGCGGAATCAGCGAGTACCTTTACTTCGCGGACTGTCGATGGCCGAGAGGGATGTCCGAACCAACCATCCAGCGTGCCCTGTACTGTAGACACAGTGATTCAGCGAGCAGTGGACGCACTTCCCCAGCGAACGGACGTAGACGCAGCCGTCCTCGCTGGAAGGAAATATAAACCAGTGGCTCTCAAGGTGCGGCCTGTATACGGCACTGTACCGGAGGAATTCCGCATCGAGCGCCACATCCTCGGCGATCCTGAGAAGGATATGCCACAACTGCCTACCAATCCACCCGAGTTCACGCCCACCGGAAGATATACCGCTGAGCGTCGGGAACAGGTACATAAACTTCACGGCGACCTGCTTTCGCCAGAAGAATGTAAACTAAGGGATCACCACTGGCAGGACCCCTGATGCAACAGCACCCTGTAAGCTCAGGGGAGCTGTTGCATCATTGGACTGAGCTGGCAGGCCAGCTCTTATAGGCCCTTGTTGCAACAGGCTGTTGCAACACTTTGCTGCTGCTTCTACCTACAGCTATAGCACGTCGGACACTGCCGAACGCGCCTACATTCTCGGTCATCCCCGGCCTCTCCCGTCGTCGCCAGCAGCGCGCTCGGGACGCTCATCGTCGTCCCGCCTCCCGCTCCCCGACGCGCACCCACGTGCAGCCCGCCGCCCCGACCCGACCCTTCCCACGCCCATCCCGCCCTCCGCCACCCCGACGCGCGCGCGCGTCGTGTTCCCACGGCGCCCTCGTTGCGCCAGCGCTCGCCTTGACCCGAGCTTGCGGTCGCACGTGCACTCGCGAGCTGACCGATCTCGCGCACGCTCTCGGAAAATGCCGAAAGCGCGTCGAAATGCGGTCCGCGTCGCGAGCACGCGCGCGCTCGCCTCCACGCGCGCCCGCCGTCGGGCTGCGCGAGCTCGGCGATTGCCGAGCACACCAGCTCACCCGTCGGATGGCGCCGCGCTCGCACCAGCACGCCCAACTGACGCGCACACCACGTGCGGCCGCTACCAATCTGGCTATTGCAGATACGGAGCAGAGCGGACTCCACGAGTGCACGGGACGCATCGCAGGCCGAGGCGAAGCGTAGCACGCGCGAGATACTGCGCCATAGCAACGCGTGTCGTGTTTGAATGAGGGGCAGCAGCCAAGACGTGGTCGCCGTGACGACCACGTCGACGGTGGGCGCGGCGACCCTAGCTCGTCGAGTGCGAGAACGTGGGTGGGATGAGATGGCGAGCAGAGCCGGGCGGCTCGCGTGGAAGACGCGCTGCGGCCGACACGCGGATGGCGGATGTAGGAGGGGCGATGGTCGGCGGTCGGATGGGATGTTGGATGTGGGCGATGACGTAGCGGTAGGGGCGCCCGGGCGGCGGTCGCAAGGAAGTTTAGGACAGAAGAGAGGGACGAGGTGAGCGCTGGGCGGCCACCTCGCTCGCAGCTGGCCGGGCGAGGCGCAGGGATGGTGGTGGTTGAGGATGAGGGGCACGATCGGCTGCGGACGGAAATTTACTCCGCGCGATCACGTGCCCGGCAAATGCCGCCGACGCGTCCATTCGCGCGCGCCACCTCCCTCTCTCCCTTTCCTTGGCGTTGGCATTAAGGTCTCCACCACCAAATACTCTGAAATATGCCATTTTAAAGCTTATTACATTGTTCTCTGTAAACTTCCATCAGAAATCCAATGCTGAATATACTGTTTCTCGCCAGTGAGCCTTTAAGCAGCAGGAGATCGGCAATGGGGGACGCAATATATAGCGATCGAGGGGCTATAAAGGCATATAAAGTAGTCTTAAAGCTAGTATAATATCTATAAGTACTTGATACGCGCTCTGATATACAGTGAGTGTGTGCACTACACACAAACTTCATTCATTTCTATATTTCAGATACTCCTCCTCAGCACGAATGCTTACAATCAAGGCCTATCGACGCATTTATAGCTTATTCAAGCGTGTTGGTGCGCACAAAGCAGTCACAGAAAGAAGGCTCTGCGTTGTTCTGGGTGAGGGGAATTATTCTATGGGGTGGACTCGAGTAGGGTGCTTGCTGGGCAGCATTGTACGAGCACAATATATTCAGTGACTCGAGACTTCAAAGACATTGATATTTCTGGTCTAATTTATGCACGTATGTGCCAGTTCAAGTCCAGTAATCCCCATTTTCAAGTGCCCCCTACACGCCTATGCAAAATTTGAGGCGGCGTATGCCATCGGTAAAGCTCTAGACGCCGTCGAGCACGACGACAAGCACGGGCCGGAGGTCGGCCCGACCTCTCGCGCCGTGTCGACACACGAATTGCATGCGCGCAAAAGAGGTCAGCGTCGTGGACACACGTCTATATAGCTCTATATTAGTTACACTCTTGATATCACAATATATCATCGCTTCTCCAGGTCAGAGTAGTACGAAAGAAGGTGCAAAATCAGCTATACATGGGTTTTGAGGCGATTCTGCGCGCTATTCAGGCTTGACAGAGTATATACTCTACTATTTTACTCATTACGGTGTACCTCTCCTACTTTGACTTCTCGTTGGGGGAGGGGAAGACGCTGGTAGTCGCAAAAGTCCGCGGTGGCGGCGGCGGCGCGGCTCGCCGAACCGGAATTCCGGGTCACGTGCCGGTCCCGGAAAAAATCGGCCGCGTTGCTGCGCAGCCTCTTGCTCTCGTCCACCACCTTCGCGCACCCTCCAGCCCGCGTGCACCCCACCTCGATCCCATCCTTCCCCTCCACTTTCCTCTCGTCCCTCTCGTACCTCTCCAGCTCCTCCGACACATTCACCTCCCCCTCATTTCGCCCTTTCGCGCTCAACAGCGTGCGCGCATGGCCAGCAGCGGCATAGCCCTGCCCTACACACACCTACTCCTCGCCCATCTCGCATGGGCTGTCCGGCACCGCCCGCGCTCGCATCCCTCCACCCCAACTCCGTCGTCAACGCTGTGCCACGTATGCGCCGGCGTGGCACGTCACGTGACGCGTCGGAGATACGTGCGCGAGCTTGGCCGATGCGTTCGCTACGTGGACGCACTGCGCTCGGCATCATTCGACGTGAGCGTGGATGAGACCGCAACGCGAGGGAGGGCGCCGGCAGCATCCCGCCGACGTCGGGGAAGCGCCGCTATCCGCTGCGATGCGGGTTTGTTGCGTGGCCAACCACGTGCTCGCGCGACGCGTCGCGCATCGACGGCATCGGCGCGTGTAGGGGCTAGGGGCGGCACGGCGCCGTCCGATGGGCGAGTCGGCGCACCCAGCGATGGCTGAGTGCGTGCAGTCCGACGACCGGTGTGCGCAGCGGAGCGGCGCGCAGCTGCGCGAGCGCGAGGTGGGCCGCGACTTGCGCTCGGCGCGAGTTCGGCATCTGCCGAGAACGCACGCATGGTCCCCGCGAATGCACGTGCAGTCGCGAGCGCAGGGCTGGGCTCGCCTCGGAGTGGCGAGTGGGGCGTGGGAACGCATCGAGCGCGCGCGTCCGACGGGCAAGCTGGCGTATCCAGCAGTGGCTGGATACGCGCAACCCGACGGCCGACACGCGCACGGGGGAGTGAGGAGCAGGTGCTCGCCCGCGAGCCGAGGCGTGAACCGTTCTCGGCGCGGTCTCGGCATTTGCCGAGATGCGCGCGAGAGCGGCGAGCGCGCGTGTGCACGATGGCGAGTGCGGGCAACGGGGACGATGTGGAGGCGAGCAGAGCGTGGGAACGCACCGAGCGCGCGCGTCGGGATGGCGGCGGGCGGAGGACGCGGCGGGATGGGCGTGGGAAGGGTCGGGTCGGGGCGGCGGGCTGCACGTGGGTGCGCGTCGGGGAGCGGGAGGCGGGACGACGATGAGCGTCCCGAGCGCGCTGCTGGCGACGACGGGAGAGGCCGGGGATGACCGAGAATGTAGGCGCGTTCGGCAGTGTCCGACGTGCTATAGCTGTAGGTAGAAGCAGCAGCAAAGTGTTGCAACAGCCTGTTGCAACAAGGGCCTATAAGAGCTGGCCTGCCAGCTCAGTCCAATGATGCAACAGCTCCCCTGAGCTTACAGGGTGCTGTTGTATCATTGATAGTGACTGACCTCAAGGGATTGGATGTATTGCGCCCATAACAAGACCTTTGCTTGGAACGATGAGCAGCGAGGAAGCTTCCGTGAGGACTTCTTCCCTCCTGTCTCAATACCGGTCGTACCGCATAAGCCTTGGGTAGAGCGCAATATCCCCATTCCGCCTGGATTGTACGAGGAAATCTGTGCGATTATTCTCAAGAAGATTAAGGCTGGCGTGTACGAGCCGTCTAATTCTTCCTACCGCTCGAAGTGGTTCTGCGTGGTTAAGAAGGATGGCAAGAGCCTCCGACTTGTTCATAGCCTCGAGCCCTTAAATGCGGTTACTATCGCGCACTCTGGTGTACCTCCGGCGACCGATGACTTAGCCAATTGGTTCGCTGGTCGCGCCTGTGGCGGTATACTCGATTTATATGTCGGTTACGACGAGCGGCTACTTGCCGAGTCCTCTCGCGACTTGACTACCTTTCAGACGCCCTTCGGAGCGTTTAGACTTCGTACATTGCCAATGGGATGGACTAATGCGGTCCCTATATTCCACGACGATGTCACAACTATCCTACGGCCTCTTATACCGGACATAACGATTCCTTATATCGATGATGTACCGATACGAGGCCCGGAAACCCGCTATGAGCTTCCGGACGGGTCCTTTGAGACTATCCCGGAAAATCCAGGCATCCGACGCTTTGTTTGGGAGCACTTGCTCAACGTCAACAGAGTGTTACAACATATGGGATATTCAGGCGGCACCTTTTCGGGTCTTAAGTCGCTCTTGATAGCCCTTCAAATACTAGTTGTCGGACATCTGTGTACATACGAGGGCCGACGACCGGAAGAAGACCGCGTAGGCGTCATTGAACGCTGGGGCCCTTGCCACGACGTCTCTGAAGTCCGGCAGTTCCTCGGCCTCACCGGCGTTTTCCGAATGTTCATAAAGGACTACGCCGTCAAGGCAGATCCTTTGGTGATGCTCACGCGTAATGGCGTACCCTTTGCGTGGGAGCTACCTCAGAGCTACGCGCAAAACGAACTAAAAACCGCTCTATTAAAGAGTCCGCCGCTGAAGCCCGTCAGTTATAAGACCGACTGGGACACTGTCCTCGGCGTTGACACATCATATATAGCGGTTGGGTGGTTCATCCTACAAATAAATCCGAGTGATGTAAAGGAGTTCTACTACTGCCGCTTCGGATCAATGCTCTTGACAGAGCGAGAGGCCAGATTCTCTCAACCTAAGCGGGAACTGTTTGGCGTCATGAAGGCCTTACAGAGCGCTTATCACTGGCTTGTCGGGTGCCGGAAACTGGTCTTGGAGACTGATGCTAAGTTCCTCAAGGGCATGCTCAGTAATCCAGGCTGCGGCCCCAACGCCAACGTCAACCGGTGGATCGAGCAAGTCTTGTTCTTCCACTTCACGCTTCGCCATGTACCTGGAAAATCCCATGCGATCGCGGACGCACTATCGCGGCGACCGTGGCAGCAAGGAGATCCAGTGCGAGACCCGGCGGACGAGGAGGAAGATGAGCCACAAGGCTTGGATGGATTCGAAGTCAAGGATGGTCTACCTGACGACACCTTGCCTATCGAAGACTTCCGAGATAAAATCGATACACGCGGAGGCTACCTCCATACCGAACTTGACGAGCTAGATCGAGACAAGGTCTTTGCGAAGGCTCGTCGAGTTAAGGAGGCTTTTACCCAATTCAAGGATGAATGGCTTAATCCTAAAATCACTCAGAGCGCGCCCGGTCTGTTCGTATTTAACCAGGCTGAGCCCTCTAGACGGAAAGGTCCTATCCGCCTACCGGACCCGATCCTGAACCTGAACGACGAGGAGACTCTAGCGAAATATCGCGAGTTCCCGCGTTCGAAAGAATATCTTGAGCTCGATGATCTACTATGGGACCTACGCGATTACTTCAACTGGAACCCGGTGGATATCACCGAGGAACGCTGGGAACAGTTGTGCAAGCTCGCTACTGAGTATCGCATGACAAAGACCGGCCGAATCTACAAGATACTACAGGGTGGTCGCACCGCTCTACTCATATGGCCGCGCGACCGGTGGTTCATTATGAACGCCGCGCGTGAGGCTAGCATTAATGGGGAAGCCGAGGAATTACTCGCCCTCATTTCCAGTCGCATGTGGTGGCCAGGAATGGAAGGGGATGTCGAGCAGTATTTAGCTGCCGGCGACTCCGTACCTAAGGCCGACCGTGCCACCGCGACGCTGCCCCACGTACTGTACCTACAAAGCGGTCCAGTCTCCGTCGCTCGACCTCCGGGATCCGAGTGTACCGAGGCCACGGGCAAGGAACATCTGGTGCAGGAACTGGAAAAATACCACCACTTAAAGCCAACGGACGCGTCGGCAGTCGCCGAGTTGGTCCTTTCGGAAATGGCCGACGGACTCAGGCGACGCGACGAGCCAACCCAAGTCCAGACGCTAATTTCTTCTGAGTCAATCCCCGAGGGATTGCCTCACCCTTTGCCCACTTGGGCGGTCGAACAAACACTACCTGAGGGAATAGCTCATGGTGTGGGGGACTTCGACGCCGAGCTAGAACGTGCTAAGCTGGAAACAGCGGAATTTAATCGCATACGCTCTGCGCAACTGAAGGATGCCGGGTTCGGAGAGTCTAGCGATTATTATTGCATGACGATCCATACGCCCGACCCCCTCTCCATATATGAGCAGCTTGTGGAGTATCCTACCGCGTCGCGGAAGAATAAACACCGACTTCTTGATCAGGATCTCGAGACCTGGCTCAGATGGGTGGAAAACCCGGACTTTGCCACAAACAAGTCCGCCTTTGACCTCGCGGCTCCGATAGCCGAGCGGCTGCGAAGGAATTATGTCGTATCCGGTGGAAAACTCTATCGCGTCGAACGCGATGAGCTACCACAACTCTATGTGCCACAAAACAAGCGCATCGAAATGCTGCAACAAGCGCATGATAGCTTAGGCCATCGAGGAGTATACGCGACACAACAACTACTGTCAGTACGGTTCTATTGGCCTGGACTGAACGAAGACGTGGAGTGGTTCATACAGACATGCCACCCGTGTCAAGAACGCTTGAAAGCACTAGCGCGCATACCGCCGGTGGTAACTTTCACGCCATCTTTATTCCAGGTCGTCCACATAGACACCATGCACATGACGCCCGCATCGAGAGGCTTCAAATACATTGTCCATGCAAGGGACAGTCTCTCTAATTGGCTGGAAGGCCGCGCGCTTCGCATTGAGAACGCGGTTACTATAGCTAAATTCATACTCGAGGAAATACTCTGTAGATGGGGTTGTCCCGAGGAAATCGTGACCGATAATGCGTCCCTTATGAAGTCCGCTATGCGCTGGATTTCTAAAGAGTATGGCGTCCGCCATGTCCGCATATCGGCCTATAACTCTCAAGCCAATGGAAAAGTTGAACAAGTACATTGGGATATCCGGCAGTCGCTAGCGAAAGCCTGCGGACCGCAGCTAAACAAATGGTATAACCACCTACACTTTGTGTGGTGGGCCGACCGCGTAACCTTACGGAAGCGACTCGGAGTATCGCCATATTTCCTTGTGACAGGAGCGCACCCGCTCCTGCCATTTGACATCGCCGAAGCGACCTGGCTCATTGACTATCCCCTGCGCACACTTACGCGCGAGGAGTTGATTGGGTACCGGGCCCGAGCCTTAGCGAAACATCATGCGGAAGTAGGCCTTGTCCGCTCTCGAATCGAGAAGGAAAAGCTTGAGCGCCTTCACCGCTATGAACGCGAATACGGGCATGTTATCAAACTGCTCGACTTTAAACCAGGCAGCTTAGTGCTGGTCCGGAATACTCGCATCGAGAAATCACACAGTGACAAGATGCTACCACGCTACCACGGACCCATGGTGGTCATACGGCGGACACTCGGTGGCTCTTATATTGTGGCAGAACTAGACGGAACCGTCTTTCAAAATAAGGTCGGAGCATTTAGAGTGTTGCCCTACCGTTCTCGGGCCTCTATAACCTTGCCCAACGAAATACACTCATTAATCGACTTGTCTCCGGACGAGCTCGAGAAACTCATGGCCTCGGACGAGCCGGACGAGGACGAAGTTGCCCAAGTGAGTCCTGACGGGCTCGCGGACTTGGACGACGGAATTCTCAAGGAAATCGACGACGCTATGCCGGCGCAACCCCTACCCGACTTCTCGTTCCCTGATGAGCCAGAAGTCGAAGCGCAGGGACGACCGGACAGCCGAGACGAGCTTGACCGTCGGGACCGTGAGGACGACGACCACCAGTCCGAGTCGGAAGGCATTGAAGGCAGTGAGCCCCCGGGCTTCCTGGACGACGCCCCCGACGAAACCCCGGACAGGGAACCCTCCCCAACTCCCGAACCTGGCGAGCGCCGGTCCCGGAGGACCATCAAGCCTACGGAGAAAGTCCGTGCCGCAGGTGGACAAAGGGAGATGAATAAAATGGCAAAATAAAGGCCATACACCGAAGGTGTACGCGCATGCGCCGCACCGGGTACAACTCTGCACGAGTCAGTCTGGATTGACGACCGCAATCTTCACGAGCCCTCTGAGGCCCAGATATTGCTGGTTCAGGCGCTTTCGGGCTCAGACTTCGTGAGAACAAAACAAAAATTCGTTGAATAGGTATGCCTCGACTACACAGTCCTAAGTACACGGCTATCTGATAGTAAACGAGTGTGGTACCGCGTCCCGAACGCGAAGCTGCAGAAAATAAATAAAGTAAGCCCTGCTCAGCCCACACCAAGCGGTGTAAGGGTCAGAGCGGGTGGAAAACGAACGTCGGACATAACGAATGACTGGGTATACGTGCGAGTCAACGATCCAGACCGAGCCGCCTACGCAGCGGGCAGGGTAGCGATGGCGGGGGTCTCCTCCTCTGTCTCCTTCGCGCTCGAGCGTGTGGTGGGCTTGCTGGACTTCTTGGCCGCGCGGCTGGACGAGCGCGACGCCTCCTTCTTCTTGGGGGCGGCGCT